TTACGAGTTTAAGTGTAATTCTGAAACATTGGAAAAGTTTCAATGTATGGCAGAATGAATAAGAAGAATCAAATAAGGCAGAAAGATAAAATTTTCTCCAATCTGAAGAGATGGGAAGGTACTTGTGCATTTTGTTTTATGATTATCTTAGTGATTATGGAACCATATCACAATTGATCCTCTAAGGACACCTTAGTGTGTTTGTTGCCTGAGGAGAGGAATCGTGAATTGTTGAAATGGTTAAATCAAAAGATAATTCATACTTCGTGCCAAAAACAAATCCTGGAGTTATACTCCAAGATTGTAACTTGAGTGACATAGTCTTTAGAAAGTTCATAACACTTGTCAAATGTAGAGTAAGATGTTTCCTATTCTTGTACATTTGAGATTGGTAAGTTGTGATGTTTTGGATAAAACAAAGACCAGCTAAGACCAATAGTGAGAAGTGTTTAACTTGATAAGAATCCGCACTAGCTCTTGAATATTTGTTTTGTCAAGGAATGGTTCTTGACAAAAAGAAGTCTTATATGTCAAGAGGATAGTGGGAGTCTAAATGATTCTGAAATAGTTTCAAGAACTAAATCAAGAGTTTTGTTAATCACTAGCCCACGACTTGAGGTTTGTAACCTATCGTGTTGACATATTCTTGTTTCTGTGTCTGTTCCAGTTGAAAGTTGATTATGCTTGTGAGTTCTATGAGTTCTCAATTGTTTGCATAACAACCCGGAAGCAATGGTGGGCATTGTGCTACCAGGTGGCAAGAAATTAAGATTGCACAAGTTCAGTCCATATGAATTTGGAAGTGTCACTAACCTAGTCCTGTGATTATGGTTATGACAAATTCACATGGATAGGAACACATACACCATAAAATCTAAGTGTCATAAGGTTTCTCTTCGATTCATGAAAATGATGGTGAGGAAACGCTTCCACTAAGAAGATTTTAAGTAGATAGCAGTTGTGATATTTGCATTCTCATATAGTTAGTGGAGCGTGTGTGGTTAACCGGCACACTAACTAGTGAGAATTGCAAAAAAGTCTAGACAAACATGTGAGCTATCTAAGGAAAGGTGTATGTTTTTTGATAAAGTCTTATCAAAGCAATCTAGTATCAGAAATATGAACTTTGGTAAGAAAGTCAATAAAGTATTGATTTCTAGAAGTCCAGTTGATTTCTGAGTACATGTCAAAGCTAGTGGGAGCATAAAGTGTTATGCTGGTAATCATTATGCTAGTGGGAGCATGACGATTATGTTAAATATTGCAGGTTAGCAATGTTAATTATAGAAAACAAAAGTTTCAATTCGCCTTGAAAAGGTTGTAAGTTTCAATTCGCCTTGAAAAGGTTGTTTTGCTATAATTAAGGGAGAGGATTTTATACTTCACTCCAATTCTACAAGCTTAGATTGAGAATTTAATCTACTTTAGTCAAGAATATATATGAATGTTATGTTGGAATGGTTTAACATAAGGAAATTCTATATATGTTGCGTTCTCAAAATTCGATTATGATTACGGCATCCCTCTTTATAGTTCGAATTATGAAAACATGGCAAATAAAAAAATTTATAGCATAAATCATGTCCCATATGCTTTGGGTATAGGTTTGATTACATGTGCTATAATATTCATCCATTCTAAATTTTCCAAATGCCTAGGGCATTAAGATGGAAAAAGGAATAGAACTGGAAATGACTAAAATGATTAAGCAAAGTTGTCGAGGACAATCTGAGGTTTACCAAAGATTGGTTGCTCATGGACAATTAGAAGTATAGAGTAAGGACCATATTGACATATTTTGAAAAGAGGCAACTCTTGTTCAGAAGTGATGGTCAAAATGGTAATATGGAATTGTCTCCATAGGTGGAAGTTATTCTTTGAATCTGTGTAAGATTAAAGAACTTAATGCTAAGAAGGATGTTCAAAGGAATGTACTTTGAATTTGAGACTTCATTTCCATGGAATTGTTTTCCATTGGAATACTTTGTAATTTCTGTTGCCAAGTCTTTGTGACTTCTGTGCATAGTCATTACAAGGGGATCATTGCATATAAGTTTAGAATCTAACAGATTACAGTAAATGGCAAGAGTTTGGTATTCTTGCATTTACAACGAGGATTGGAATTGTGAAATGAGCATCATTGGAATATTGTCAATTGATCTATTTCACAAAGAGAGGACCATATGTAAACATAGTATGCATACTTGGAGTATGGCATAATTGTTGTTTGGAAAACCATAGTGTACATGCTTGGAGCATGGGACAACTAATGTTTTAATTCAAGCATAAAGTTGATTAATCGAAACATAAATAATGAGTAATCAATATGGTGCTTAAATAAAAGGTGTTTTTATTTACACTCAAAGTGTTGGGGCCATATAAGATTAGTATTATTCTTGTGTTTCACTTTGCATGTTTTGACTTCCAGAATAATTATGTTATGGTATATATCATATTATTCAAACCATCCACAGTCAGTCATATGTTGGAAGTAGATATGAATCAAGACTGTCATGAATTTGGCTTGTATGATTTGTCTAAAGTGCTTTAGACAATGCAATGGTTGCTACAACATTCATGAGTACTCATAAGGGCTGAGTATTGGATTCAACCCACGCTCACTTGCATCACTTCATGGAATTTATCTCGAGTGATCGTGAGACGGTAATATCATATAAATCTTCAAACCTAGAGATATGAGTTGTTGACTATGAGTTGGTTATTCATTGATTGTACGAAAACGCATTGGTAACTCGATGTTATAAAACGTGCCTTTGTGAATAATTCAACAAGTAGTTAGTACAAGCATATCAGTCGAAGTTTATCTGTTCCTTCTAGAAATAGAAGCGATATCTGGGCCCCTCGATGATTTGGTTTTGACTTATGTACCGGGCCCGGTCAGAACCTAATTGATGTGTTCAATTTAGTTCTATGTCGAAACAAATCAGAGATCGAGAAACAAATGCTGGACAATAAGTAAGACCATGTTCCATGTGTTTGTCCGGCTGATATCATGAGAACAGAGGATTATATGATCACTTATCTTAAATGGCGTATCATCATCATCTCAGTTCTGAGAGACTTTGAAAGAGCTACGATTGCTAGTCGGATTTTGAAGTCATATTTGCAAATATAGTTATTAGACTTATCCAAGTGGGAGACTGTTGGATATAGTGTCTAAGTCCATAACTTTATTTGGTATGTACTTGACCCGACCCGACATGGTCCATTTGGGTTGCATGGCATTGCAATACTTGGATAGACTAAATGAGAGAATAAGGCACTTATGATTATTAATATATTATAAGTTCTAATATATTAATAATAGTATTATTTAATTAGTATTGATCAAGTATTAATCTAGTATTAATCTAGTGATCAAAGTAAGACTAATTAAATATATAGGGTTGATTATGACAATCATCAATTCTTTTATATTGGATTAATGATCCATGGTTTATGGGTTTGGTTATAACCATATGGAGCTCCATGGATAGTCCATGGGAGTTACAAACCCATGGGTCATGAGAAATCAAGAGTCATGACAATTAAGGGCATTCATATGTAAACCCTAATTGTGACAACACTATAAAAGGAACCCTATGGCTAGCAAAATCATGAGCTAGTTGACCTAGTGTTACTAGAGAGGGCATAACCGATTTTGAGTGCTAGAAGTATTCTCTCAAGTTATTCCAAGTTTTGTGGTGTTGTGTGAAGCATTTGAGGCACAACATTTGGGGTGCTAGGCTCACAAAGTCTTGAAGGAATCCAAGCAACAACAAGGTATGTATTTCTACTACTTTTTATGTTTTATGTAATCCCCATGCCATGCTAGTTAGGAAATAACCTTGAAAAAGAAATTTGCATGTATATAGAGAAAACATAGATTGAAGGTTATTAGGGTTGCATGTACACTTAGGAAGTGTTAGAATGCTTAAAACCCATCACCTCGTACACTGGGCGTATGTGCATGTACGCTTAGCGTACTGAGGCGCACAGGATCGAGTAGTTGAGCCTCGTACGTGGGGCGTACGAGGATGTACGCGGGGAATACGTGGTCTGTGTATAAAACCCTAATCTTCGGACTTGTCCCCTATTTAAACCCATTTATGGCCTTTGGAACCTCACCTTTATCAGCCTCATTACCTTTAAACGTCCCTAAAAACCCTAAATAGCCATTAGAGGTGATTTTGAGCTTGAATTAACAAAAATGAGCCATTTTTGGTGTGTTTGCAAGAAGAAGATCTTGTGGTACAAGTCTTTGACATGGTTGAGCTTCTAGATCCAGCATCCAAATCACCTTAGGGAGCTTCTGGAGGTATAAAGTGCATACCTTGCTTATCTATTGCTTAGATTTCTTCTTAAGCTTGTTTTGGTCCTTTTTGGTCCCTTTTGGTTGGTCTTGAAGAGTTAAGACCATTTGAGATGTCAATCTTGTAGATCCGGAGCGGTAGCCGAGCAGTTATTATTATCAGCAGACCGAGGTAAGTCTCTTCCCAGTATTACGGGTCGAAGGCACCAAGGCCGGCCCATTTTCTGGTTATGTAGTATGCTAGTTTTTGTGTGATACATGTTGTGATTGGGTTGAAATACACCCCAGGGTGGGGCCCAGTATGGCATGACGGGTTGAAACCCCTAGGGCAGGGCCCACTGTGATATGTTTAGGTTAAAATATACCCCAGGGTGGGGCCATACTTGCTTTTGGGTTGGAATGAACCCTAGGGTTGGGCCCATTTGTATTATTGGTATGTGTTATTTTAGGAAAACTCACTAAGCATTAGCTTACAGTTTATATTGTGATTTCAGTTACTTTCGGTTCTAAGGGGAAGGGCCCGGCTTGATGGCGCAGCATTCACTCTCCATAATTTTTTCGCATCCACTGTTATTGTCACTCTGATGATTTTATATGATGATGATTATGTATTGGATTTTGGAATCAAACTTATGAATGTAAACTTTAATTAAAAATGAAAATTTTTCTCATAGTTTTTTTTGGGTTGTTACACTTGAACTCTTTCAACATGATCTTCTAATTGAACCTCTTCTTGAACCTCAGGAACCTCTTCTGTACATTCTATACAAAGGTGTAATTAATGAGTTGGATGTTGCATTATAATTAAATGTTTTAAAAGAATACCTTTCTCTTTTTTACTTTTTTGAGATTTCTTCTTTTTTGTCCTTGAACTGGATGCTACATCTTCTGGTATTGTAGAAAATATTGATCTACTGTGCCTTCTTTTTCTACAAATGGTGCAGGTCATCACTGTACCCGATTTTGAGATAGTATGCCTTGTTTTCCCATTGCTTTCCTTTTCAGATTGATCCTCTTTCCTTTTAACAACTGGCCTTCCGGGTAACCTTCTTTTTTGGGGGACAATGGCTTAATGTAGGGAACTTCAGGCCACATGGAACTACCATTCAATGGATTAATGGTATGGTTGTAAGAACTCAAGAACATGGCTGTAAACCGTGGTGAAACAAAATCCTCTTCATTCTTATTGAGGTATGAAATGGTTTCCATTGCATGCACACATGGAATACCTGCTAGTTGCCAGGATCTGCATCCATATGTCTTGTTGTTAAGTTCCATAATATATCCTTCATTTCCAATCCTAACCTCATATTGTTGTATTCCAGAAAGTACAAGTCCCCAAAATATGTCCACAAAAGTGTAAGTTTTATTATGTGCACATGTGTTAATATTAGTCATAAATTTGGAGTAAATGGTTTCCCCTTTGCCAATTGTTTATACATCCTCTCCATTGCATAAATCTGAATTTCTTCCAACATGGTGAGGAGTGGCCTCTTCTTAGCAAGATCAATGACAGAGTTGAAAATTTATGAGATGCCATTTTCATAAGAATCAAAAGCCCTATCTACTTGAAAGAATGCCCTTCTCCAAGTTTTAGGGTCCCTTTCCATGAGGTGTTCGTAAGCCAAATGTTCATTTTTTTATTTCATCCATTTCTACCTTAATTTTAGGTTGAGTAGTACTAGCAGTAGCAGCCCAAAACAACTTCCTAAAATTTTCACCTTTGAATCTTTTCTTGAAGTTAGCATATATATGCCTAGCGAATTGTCTATGCCTGTTGTTGGAACCCTTTCTTTGACAGTCTCTAGTAATCCATAAAATAAAACATGAAATAGGGTGGAGTAAAAGATTACATAACTCAAAACATTCGACTAAAAGAAAACATAAAAAAAATGTACCTTGTGTTGGTTTGATATGAGGTTCAATCCATGACCAAGTCCCATTTCAATGTCATCCAACCGGAGGCCAAGAAATCACATCTATGTTTCCTTATTTTCAACTGCCACCACAACCTAGGAAATAAGGTAGATGTGGTTGTTTGCATCCTTACTAATAGTTGCTAGCAATTGACCTCTACATATAACTTTAAAAAAAAAGCTATCTACCCCTATTACCCTCCTACATCGTGCAATCCACCTATCTTTCACACCCTTAAAACAGACATACATTTTAGAAAAGTAAGTAGTGGAATCAGACATGACATACACATTTGTCTTTACTGTTGAGCCAGGATTTGTCATCATTATTTATTCTTCATAACTCCATAGTTTACCATAATGTTCTATCAAACTACCCTCTATCTCATCAAAAACATACTTTCTACCATTTATACACCGACCCACACTAACAATCAAGTTAAACTTTGTAATTACCTTGGTTTTCATTTTCCTTATGCTTATTTTGGGTTTCTACAAAAGTTGATTCTTAAAATGCTTCTCAATCCATTTGTATGTTACAATGGAACCAAGTTTGAACACTATTGAACAATTATGGTCATGAGTTAAGGACTTAATCTAGAAAGACCTTTCACTACTCATCCAGGAAGCCCACATTCTAAAAGGAAAATAGGGGTTCTTATTATCTTTACAACATCCTACTAACAATCTCTGACTATCATTTTTCTCAAAAAGTAGGTTATAACCATTCTTTACTGCATAATTAGTCATACATGCCTTCAATTCCAAAGGGTTAGAGAATCTTATACCTAATATTGGCACCATTTTGTCCCATTTCTGGTTCTCATTATGAACAAGGAACACTGGTTTCTCATCCCCATTGTTGGTATCAACCTCATCATCTGTATCCCTACAAATACCTGATACCTTGTGCAAAACGTCATCACCAACAGTCATGTCAAGAGAAGGAGCCTTGTCATCTGCTTCATAATCATAGAGCATATCATCATAAAGTCGTGAATCATTGTCACCATCCTTTTCTTCCTCATAATCATGCCCTTCATCATCTTCTACTACTTCCATATCAACCCAATCAAGTATAGGTTCATTTTCGTGGTTAATATACACACTCATTCTTAAACCATCTTCAGCACTATAACTAATTTCAATACACTCAAAGTAGTCATCATCATTCCTAACTCTCCTAATACCCTCTTCCAATGATTCATTTCTAGTGTAGTAATATACATTATCATGACTACGTTTAATCAACTTTTGAAGGAACAAAATAAATTCTTTAAGATCTATTGCACCAAAATTGACATCGCCGGATTGAAACAACAACAACATTCAATTACATTAACTATCAATCACTTGGTGTAGAAACAGATGCTATATTCTTCACAATAACAATCACATTCTATAGTTGTCTTCAATGTCAAAACCCTAATCTTCGACTGAACTTACAACATCAATTACGTCTATGTGAACCCTAGTTTAAGGATAAAGGGGGTGAAATGTGTTCTAATCCCATGTAATAGGATATGTCATTCGTAATTAAACGTTTTAAAATACGACAACTGGGAAAACAGGCGATAACCGGTCAAAATGGTTTAGGTGAACAAAAACAACAAGTTCAATGGTATATTGAGTACAAAAAAAATGAGAGGGGCCAAATGTAGACAAAACCAACAGTTTTTTACCCTCCTAAGTCATTTTCCTGAAAAATAGTACGAATCTGTATCCAGCCACCATAGTTTTGGTGTGTTGATTCTTTTTAGGTGGATATGTCATTTATCAAAGACAAAATTGTATAAATGGTTATAATGCTTTTCAATTTTTCCCTAAAATAGTCTTTATGCAATCTTTTATGCATGGATGGTCCCTTTGGACGAAACATTGCACTTAAATGATCCTTATGATTAACACAGTTAGTTTTTCTATTAAGTTCAATATGAAAAAATCTTTTTACCCCTCTTTTATTGTAGACCTCTTTCTCCCCTCTCTCTCTCATGAAAACGTAAGTGGTATATTTTTAAGCAAACACCTCCAAATAATGGAAATAACACACTCTTAACTACTGGAAATAACACATTCCAACTACTGAAAAGATGATATGTGGAAGTTGAGGAATCGAAGAAAAGTGAGAAGTCGAAGCTTGAGATCGATCGCGCGACGTGCTCATCGCGTGTTTGTGGGTAAAGATCGAGAAAGTGGGGTCTAGCCGATCACTTTTGGGAATAATGCCGAATAAAGCAAAAATTCGACATTAAATACTGATCTGATGTCGGTGCGCGACGCGATACGATGTGACATTTGAAATTTAGGTCATAGACTGCTAATGACTAAATTACAGTAAATCTTTTTGTAATTTAACTCATTGAGTTTTAGTGTATCTAATATGAAATAAATGAATTTATTTCAAATATTATAAGATATCAAATGATTCCTTACTTCCAAATTTGTAAATTGTCAAACGAATCAAACAGCTCAAACTGCAACACTGGTAAATGCGACTGAAAAACTGAAAATTCATATTAAGCAGTTATGAGTGAAGCAAACCTTAAAACCTTATAGTACATGTTCTCCTACTTCCGAAAATATAAAGAACGTCCAAAACGGAGTTCGTATGCAAAAGATACGATAGTTTTAAGAAAACTGACACTAAAACACTGTTTTCTTTAATCGCGTAAAACCGAATCAATCCATTGAGGCACTTGCACATCTCCGATGGAAATTTTGAGAGCGTTTTTGGATTAAGGCTATGAACTAATATTTAATTTCATAATCAAAATATTTTTAACAAAAATATTTGCAAAAGTCGAAAAATTGAGCGTTACGAGTCATTTAGACGCGATTTCTTGACACTTTCGGAAAAATTGAGCGTAACTCAAAAAATTAATCCGTTCAAGTTTTTTGGAATCCCTGAACCCGGATCTATCTAACGACACTTTCGGAAAATTTTCTCGACATCGGGATCTCGATGCACCAAAATAAAGTGGTTTTGGGCAATTTAAAGGAGTGTGAGACCTTTGTGGGACCCACTAAGACCCATTAGTCATAAAAAATCAAATTTTTGGTCATATCCATTGCTTGTCAGGTGGGATAATTCATCCCCTCTATTTGGTTGCTTACACATTTCATTTACATGGTACAAGTATGGGTGTAGAGGGTATGACACCATAAGTTGTGTGTGCCTTCTACAACTATAAAAAAACCCTCTTCTCCTTCATTCATCACACAATCATAGCCTTCTCACACTCTCTTAATCTCACTCTCTCAAAATCTTTAAATCTCTCTTTCTCTCTCTCTCTCTCTCTCTCTCTCGGTTGTTATAGCACCAAGAAAAAAACCACCATACATCACCATTTCTCCACCACAAAACCCACCACTACAACCCATTTTGCTACTGTTTTCGACCACCACAACTTCCTTCTTCCTCACCTTTGTCTTCCCAGTCGAAAGTAAGAAAGAAGGAAGCAGCAGAAGACCACCGAAGCAGCGTCCTACTGCCCATTGCCACCCACTGCTGATACCATCAAGAGACATCGCCACCACCGATTGTTGTCTAGAAAGTTGCAGAATGCATAACGAAGTGGACCGCTTTTGACAAATTTGAAAAAGTCTTCAATTCCAGAATTCATGAACTGCTTTGGGATTTCATCTGAGAACGCCACATTTGTCGATTGAATGAAGATGGTAGCTTCAGAAGCATGAGGACCTTTGATGATGTTAGTGCTGGGAGCAAACTCGTACAAGGGCTTTGACATGGTGAAAGATGTGAGGAAGATGACGATTGGGAGCCTTTTGAGAGAGAATAATAATTGCTTTTGAATCGATTGTAAAATTAACCTAGAGCGATGAATTCCCAATTTATACCTAAGAAGTTTCTTCCTTTTTACGTAATCATGAGAGAAGAGATATGCGTCGTAAACATCTCGTATCCCAAGATAATGATGAACCTTTTAACGTGATTTAAAATGTTACCGTTTGGATAAGATAGATACTTTAGACACGTCATCAACATCAACATAATCAATCAGTGAGAGTATTAATGATTATCTAGTTGGTTTGAGATGTCTTCTGATAGTGTAGTTTTAAACTACCATTCACTCACATATTATTTCGAGATCTCATCAGCGTGTGGTTTCATGGAAAGAGTGGATAGGTGATTCCAAGCTAAATTATAAATCTCTTTTATTAGAAGAAAACTGGAAAGAGTGGATAGGTGCGTTTAATGTATCACGGACAATGATATACCCATCGGCACAGATTTGTCAAGCTCTCATGAGTGTATGCTACATTATGTTGAATCATAAAACTTTAAAGAAAAATATAAGGGAAAGAATGGATTGATGCATCTGATAGCCTACGGTACATAGACTAACCATCATCATAGACTTTTAAACTTTTATTAGTGTGTGGTTTTACATAGTGAATCATCAAGCTCTGTTAAGAAGATAAAGGAGAGAATTGATTGTTTCAGTCACGCTGAGGTGAAATCAGTGTGAATCATTAACAATTTAACTCATCAATAAGAAGTGGTTTAAACTTATGTATCATAGAGTAAGTTACAATATAGAATCAAAGAATCACCGTTAATTCATAATGGTACCATGTCTACCTCAAACTAGGAGGTCAGAGACATGAACAAGCCTTTGTCATTTAGGGACCTGACAAGTATCTCTTACGTCGGTGAGTATGCAATCAAGGTAAGCCATTGGGTTATGCTAAATGTCTCAGCAGAACATGAGACTTGATGAATTCGGAAAGCATGCTTCCAGGGACAGGGTCAGGTAAAGATGATTTAATTAAAAATAAACAACCTAGCCTTTTTATCAAAAAATTTATTTAGACCAGGTGTGACATCCCCATTTTCACGGCCAGAAAAGACCGATTTTGTTTGTGCTTGTTTAAAAATCAGAGTAACATTTTAAAGAAAAGTGTTGCAGAATTTGTTCTCAAAAGAAAATATGATAAATATTTATCAAAGCATTTCCAAAGAAATGTATTTCATTAAAAACCTCGGGATGTCATGTTCGATACAGATCAAAAGCATAAACAGTACAATATAAGCCTTACAACATTTATTCATATCTATAGGCCTATATCCGTAATCCCTCATCCAAACATCACTTCTATGCTCGAGTGCCACTACCTGCAATACAAGAAAATGAGTGGGTCAGGCTTGGGAGCCTGGTGAGCACATAGGGTTTTCAGCCCACAGTAAATATGTTTATTAATTTCAGCAACCAACAATAACCCGATTACCCGTTCCCGTTATCCTCACTTTACATCCCTAAACACTTATCATAAGGGACCTAGCCTAAGGATCATCATCGAAATGGACACTACTGCTAAGGGGGTTCCTCAGCAATAAATGTCCTAAAGGCAACCATGAGGGGGATGGAGTACACCGGTGAACACATCATTCACAAACACCTACAGGTTGCGAGCCTGCTAGTGTTCCACTGGACTGTCTAGAAAAGTCTGTTGTCGTCATCTATACTCCGCTAGATGACTGGATCAACATCAACATCGAGGCCTCTCATCATTTTATTTCATCACACACCAACTATTACATCTACCCATGTTTTACCCAACACATTTTGTAGATATAAAATACATATACAGTTTAAATCATTTAAAACATGTATAAAATCGTTCATCCAACATAGACAACAAGTATTCAGATAATATACACACATAGCACGTAATTTATATAAAATACTTCATATCTATGTGTAAGATGAAAGTAACTATGCACTCACTTGTTAAAGTGATGATTCCAAACTCGGACAGCGCTTCGCTTCTAACGATTCTATTTTCCTTCGATGAAACCTAGTATCATTACTACTAGATTTTAGTCTAATATTCATTGTGACTAATTATTAGTCTAGATTCCTCATTAACACAGAGTCTACTTCATGATCTATCAAGTAAGGAACAACCAGGTAGGATCATATCTTAGGTAGGGTCCGTTTGGTATACAAAGTATACTATTTGGAAATCTCACTTTAAACACCTTACTAAATCACAACCTAGATATCATCCTCGTAAGTAGATCAATTAGTATAACGACTTTGAATCATTGATAAATCTTATTTATAGGTTTATAATAACGATATTTTATTTAAACATAAGCTATATTTAAAGTAGGGTAGGCGTATCTCACTTACAGCGGGTTTTTATTAAAAACGGGGCTTCGTTGGAGCAGCGTTTCTGAGCCGAAAAGCTCTTTTTTCTCAGATCCTTCGGGAGCTCCGGGGCTTCCTTCGGGTGCTAGGGGGTTTCCTAGGAATTAGGTTGAGGGGGGGGGGGGGGGGGGGGGGGTTAGGGGCTAGAGAGAA